CTTTGCAGGGTAGCTCCACCATTGGGAGTTGTTGGGATCCTGCTGCCTGAGCCACTACCTGGAAATTCAGTGGCATGGACAACAGGATATACAGCCAGATGCAGTCTACAGGATGGATCAAATTGTTAGCAGGACTGGATCCAGCCCCGAGGCTGCATCTTGCCCAGCCTTGCTTTATAGACTGGGCTAAGAAGCCAAGACTTTGCAGGGTAGCTCCACCATTGGGAGTTGTTGGGATCCTGCTGCCTGAGCCACTACCTGGAAATTCAGTGGCATGGACAACAGGATATACAGCCAGATGCAGTCTACAGGATGGATCAAATTGTTAGCAGGACTGGATCCAGCCCCGAGGCTGCATCTTGCCCAGCCTTGCTTTATAGACTGGGCTAAGAAGCCAAGAATGGAAAAATTAGAACGGATTCATCCAGCAACAGGACAAGAATATACTGTTTAAATGGCTGCGTCTAGATTGGCAAGTTTTTTCACAAAAGCAAGCGCTGTTGCGCAAAAACTTGCCACCTGTCTACACTGGCCGCTTAATTTTGCACAAAAGCACTGAAGATCTACTGTCCGAAATCAGTGCTTCTTGCGAAAATGCTTTGATGTTCCTGTTCGGGAAAAAGCCCTTTTCCGGAAATGCTTTTGCGCAAAAGGGCCAGTGTAGACAGGCAGCTAAGATGTTTAGCGCAAAAGCAGGGTAAACAAAAAAAACCCCTAGGCGCTCTCTGAGGCTCCGTAGCCAGGCTCAGCTTCCCGGACTTCCTGGTAATGCGAGCCGTCTTAAAGCAGACACAGGCTGCTGAGGTCACCAGGCAGGACCCTTATTCGGACCTCAGGGCTGAGGTCTGCCACGTGGCCCCTGCGTCCTCAACAGCCCCCCCCCAGGCGTCCTCAGCAGCCACCCCGCAGCAGGATGGCAGCTCCGGGGGCACCAGCCACCCGCACCCCCAGTGCAGGAGGCCCCCGGGGCCACAAACGACGGGCCCCATCCTGGTCGTCGGGGGAGCTGGACACCCTGCTCGACCTGTAGCAGGAGGAGGAGGGCCTCCATGAGACACGCTCACGGCGCCAGAACACCAACATCTTTGCCCGTGTGACCCAGGCACTCGCCCAGCAGGGCCATCCAGCTCGGACCCTACCCGCACCCCCAGTGCAGGAGGCCCCCGGGGCCACAAACGACGGGCCCCATCCTGGTCGTCGGGGGAGCTGGACACCCTGCTCGACCTGTAGCAGGAGGAGGAGGGCCTCCATGAGACACGCTCACGGCGCCAGAACACCAACATCTTTGCCCGTGTGACCCAGGCACTCGCCCAGCAGGGCCATCCAGCTCGGACCCTCGAACAACTCCGGGCTAAAGTGAAGGAGCTGCGCCAGGGCTATGTGCGGGCCAGCGAGGTCCAGGGGGCAGGAGCAGACACCTGCCCCCATTACGACCGGTTCCATGCCATCCTGGGCCAGCCAGCCCCGCAAGCCCCAGCCAGCCCCGCAAGCCCTGCCAGCCCCTGCAAGCCCCGGCAAGCGTGCACCGCCCCGTCACCAGGACCACCAAGGTGGGGGAAGGAGGCGACAGCAGTGCGTCGGAGGATGAGGCCAGCACTGCCACCCAGCAGGCCCCCTCCAGCAGCCCCGGCGTCTCCCGCACATCCTCGGAGGCTGGGGAAGGATCCACCGGTGAGTGTTGCACTTTGCACTCACAAGGGCGGGGGACAGGGGGAGAGCCAGGCATCCAGAGGGGGGAGGGGGAGAGCACGTCACTCAGGCCATGTGAGCTGCACACTGTGTAGCATTAGGCAGGAAGCAGCACGTGCAACCACGTGCAGCCTGGTGACCGAGCGGCATGTGACCACAGCAGGCAGCTGCAGGGCACGCCTGGGACCGTGCTGCTCACACACATGCGGCGGGACCAGGGGGAAGGGTGGATGCCAGCTGGAACCAGCCAGGGCCGCAGGGACTCAGCCCAGAGTCCGCACCTCCACAAGGTTGCAGCATGGAGAACGGCACACTGTCCCATGCCTGGCTGTGAGGCACAGCCAGCTGCTCCTGGGAAAACCGCAGCATCACAGCCCTGTGAACGTGGCCCCCACCGAGCCCCTCGCCTACTCCCGGTGCCTTGGCTGGTTCCCTGAGGGAAGTCCTCACTGCGGCCACACATGTCCCTGGGCTACGTGTGTGAGGGATAGTGGGAGGGAGAAGGGGGGG